TATCGAATCAGATTTGAGCTCATTCCCATCGGTTCATTTCAGATCTGGGCGGTTTTCCAACGGTTCACTCCAGATCTGAGAGGAGACCCATCAGAGCAGAGCTCATCTTCTTTCACATACTGACTTGAGCGTCGGAGGCTCTACGCCGGAAACCCCTCCGGCGTTGAGTTCTTGCAGGTTTTCTCGTGGTTCAGCAACGGTTTGGAAGCTATCGAATTAGATCTGAGCTCATTCCCATCGGTTCATTCCAGATCTGGGCGGTTTTCCATCGGTTCACTCCAGATCTGAGAGGAGACCCATCACGCAGTGACAACATTAGCCATCGAATTTGGTCGGACATGGGTAATAACTCCCAAATTTTAAAAGTTGTTGGCTAATATTGTCAATTCATAAAGATGATGACTAATATTGCTACCTCGTACAAGATACTGGCTATATTTTATCATTAAATCAATATATAAATAATTAAGGTTAACATGTAAAAAGGTGAGCTATTTAAAACTAAAATATAAATGAAATACTTAAGCAAAAAATGACCCAATTTCTATATACATGTACTTAACTTTAAATTAGGTCCAAGTGTTTATTTTTTTTATTGGCAAAATAAAATCTCCACATTTCATTTTTTTTATTTGAAATAAGTGCGATGGTATTAGAGAATGACGTGCAATAGGGATCGTTTTTGAAAAGTTACAAGTATTCTCAGTAATCATTAATTTTAAACAATATGAAATATATATATATATATATATATATATATATATATTTTGCAGAAAATCCTTGACAATTGAAATTAAATATAATTTTTGGAAATGTAAATTAATATAATTTTTGTAAAAGTGTGATTTTTTAAATAATATTATATAAATTATAAAAGAATAATTTTTTTGATATAACTTATATTTGTGATATATGGTAACGAAAAGGAAGTTGATGCGTTATAATTAATTGTATTGATTTTTATCTACTGCAACAGTTTAGTAGTGATAATATATTCTCATGATTCTCTTAAGGAAAAAAAAAAAAGATTTGTTATATGAACAGAAAATTAACAATAATTGCGACATTATGCTATTTTTATTCATAAAAGTTTTAGCTGCATAATTGTGTATTTATTAAAAAAAATGAGGGCAATCACTTTAGTTATCAACTTTTAGATAACCTCAAATTTTGACCTAAATGAAACATATGATACAAATTAAAAGTAAAATAAATTAAACAAACTATATATTATTGGCACAAATTATTCAATATATTAGGACCATTTTGTCTTCGCATTCAAAATATATTGTCACTATTTATTTATCACAATATTCCGGTAAAGATGATATTTTCTCGTCATTTTTAAGAAAATAATGTGATATACGAACAAAACATTAACAATAAAGTAACCTGTTAAGCCTTTTCTTTTCAAAATTATAGTTGCATAATTATAAAGTAACTAGTACAGATCCCGTGCGATGCACGAAGCGCACAAAAGTCATTTATCAAGTCTTATAATTATAAAAAAAAATGTACGAGATATATATAGTACGTGACATGTAATAGGCCAAAATGTGAACACGGGTGATGCACGGGTGCACAATTTTAAGGTCATTTATTAGTACAGAGTCCGTGCGATGCACGGGGTGCATAATTTTCTAATATGTGTAATACAAATGCATACTGTATGCACAAGATAGAAGCACTAAATGAGTTATTTCCACAAAGCTTGCCCGTTACGTAGCTCCTGAACACGGGTGCACAATTGGTAGCACGTACCATAAAATCAGAACAAATTTTCATGCAATTAGATAATAAATTAGATAATAAATAAAACCTTTTTTATTTTAGTAAAGATTTTATGTACTTTTTTATTTCCATCCAATTTTGTAGGATGCATTAAATATTGATTAAATTTTATATGTAAAATAAAATAAAAATAACTGGAATAGTTACGTGTTGCAATATTTTATATTTAAAAAAATTAAAAAAAAATCTTCTTTTACGTATTGCATACCAACATTTTAGGAATTACATGGATATTCCGAAATTAATACTGCATACCCAATATTTTAGGAACTAATTAAATAATAATTTGATTTGCATACCAAAAATATTAGATACATTAATTAAATTCTTGATAAAAATAGTAAATCATTAATTAAGGTTGACTATTCTACATACTACATTTAGTAAATAGTATAGCTCTTAATATAATTATAGATAAACAAATTACTACAAAGGCAATAACTTTATGCACATATGTTTAAGTGGGCTCTTGGAGATTTTTTTGGCAAAAATAAAATAAATTATACCAACACAAAAAAAGAAATTAAGCAAATTTTATATTTTTGGGCAAACAACACATACATTCGTACCGAAACGAATGTGAAATAACTTAATATATAGTTGAAAATTCATCGAAGAAACAAATGATATATATGTATTTTCCACATCAGCCTTCACAATCAAAGCAATGAGTCGCCTCTTTGATATCATATGAATATGCAGACTCATTCTCCAAATCCACAGATGATATATTTTTTTTTTTTTTAAAAAAAATACATCTCTTTTAATTGAATAAATTGTATTATTTTTTATGATAAATATAACTTTATTATTATTTATATCTCTCTCTATTTCTTTTTATTTATTATTTAATACAATCTATTAAAAAATAAAATAAATAAAAGTATGAAATTCAGAAGTCTAAGTTTGCAATTTGTTATAAAAAAAAAAAAAGAATGGCACAATGACTTGATTAACCGCTACCCCACCTCACATAAGAATTTGTGAATGATTAAATATTTTACAGTTTAAAATAAAAAGATTTTCTTTTAGGAATGAGTTACTCCATGCAAATATTTAATGATCATTTCTAATTTCTTAGTGTTATGTAAAGATATAAAATTGTATGAAGGCTATATTTATAAGATATAATTGCACATTTTCTTAGCATATACACAACTTCCATGATAATAGGGTATATATGTGTCAATCTGACACGATGATACTATATAAATATTTAAAGCAAACTTTACATAGCAACCAATGTTTAAGGAAAAAATAGATTTAGTTATTTTTGATATTCAGAACCGAATTGGAAATCGACACTTTTCTCTTGGACTTTTCTCTTGGACTTTTATAAACCTTACCCATTAAAGATGCTCTTAGAACTGTCTAATTCCTATTTGGTAAAATACTTGAACAAGAAGTCAATCACGTGCCCAATTTAGGCCAATTAAGGGGTGATTGTTTATGTTTTGAATAGTAAAAAATCTAGAATTTTTTAATTATGGTTAAGTTTAAGAAAAAGTGGTATGATTAGTTTGATATGGGATATTATATACTAGACCGGTTCGCAGAACACTCCAAACAGAATAGTATGAGGGTGTGGTCGAGCAGTGTCGACAGGTCTACAGAAACTCTAGCACCTGGTCGAGAAGGCGCCTTCCAGCGAGAATAGGCGCGGGACCAATCATCCCCCGTTTTTGGGGCAGATTACACGCGCGAGCACGTGGACAGATTTGGTCGACAGCCAGATTATGCTAGAGGATCTCCATCACGTGGAAGGGGACACGCGGCGCTCTGTGAATGGGCCAAGGAATAACGAACTCTGACATTCTCTGACGCGGCTGACGCGTTTTCTGACACCAGGGAAAGTGGAGACGCGCAACTGTACGGACGAGCAGAGGAGGAAGGGCGAGACTCGCCTAGTCGCGCGTGGCCAACAGGTAACCCGTCCCTATAAATAGGGACGAGGATCATCGTTTTAGTTAACTTCCAATTTTCTAAGATTTTGATATACACCTTTATCTCTCAAGATCTGACTTGAGCGTTGGAGGCTCTTCACCGGAAAATACCTCCGGTGTGAGAGTTTTCGTGCAGGTTCAGCGTTCGACCGGTGGAGGAAGTCGTGTTTGCTGCGGTTCTCGGTCGGGCGAGCGTTAGACTTGTATTATAGTTGTTAGGGGATATATTAAAAAATAAAATAGTTAAAGTTGATTTGATGTAAAAGTAAGAAAAATAATTGGAAGTAATAGTTAGTTAAAATTAGTTAAAATTATGTGAGTATATGAATAATGAATTAAAGTTGATGTGATATGTAATAATGATTTGTTGATGTTATTTAATTATATAATAATATTGGAGATAGTGTGGTTGAGTTAAAATTGAGTTAAATTTGAATTTGAGTAAAAAAAATTACTTTACAAATGATAAACAATCACCCCTTAAAAAGCGCCATGTCACCAAGAATTCTCGACCCAAAAAACATGCAAAAAATTGACGCAATTTTCTCAGCAATAAAAACTGACCACGCCGAAAACTTGCCAGAATAGTCGGACAATCATCAGCGAATTAACTTCCGACCAACACCATCATCTTCTTCGCTCAGCATCAACGACATCTTCACTCGACGAAAAAAAAAATCAACTAGCTCTGGTCGTCTTCTCTGTTCTTTAATCCGCCGGACATCTGTCTGCGACTCCAGTCAACAGCCTCACCGTGACGTCCAAACGACTCATCCAGGGCATCGACCCGGCACGAGCCTAGGTCCAAGCCAGTCCTGGGTCCTCGTATTCGGGCCCGCCGGCCCGGTTCGGGCAACACCCGTGTTTTGGCCACCTCTACAATATGTAGTATCATATATATCTCTTTTAAAATAAAAAAAGATAATAAGAGCACGAAATGTTGTCGTATCGTACAACTGTTTAAAGCTACTAAAAAAAGTACACGTGTTGGTCCATCTCTATCAAATTGAATAAAACCAACCAACGGTGTCGATAAACCTAAGCCTCATTTCCCCATTTCCCCATCTCGCAATCTCAGTCGTCGTCTCTTCCCCCATTTCTCCACCCTCCGATCTTCCTCGCGCGCAAAATACAAACAAACATTCGACCAGCACACTCAGTCTCAGGTAAGCGCCTACGGACGCCTCTGTATCATCTGGATCTCCATTTTTGCGTGATGGTGAGCTAGGGTTTGGTCGGTTATGTTAGGTTTTTTCGTTTGCTCCGATGGCGGATGCACAGTCGTCGCTGGGAGCTCCGGGGAGCCCCGCCGGCGGCAGCGCCGAGAGCGGAGGCGACCTGAGCCCGCGCTCCGGCGTCCGCGAGCAGGACAGGTTTCTGCCGATCGCGAATATCGGCCGGATCATGAAGAAGGGGCTCCCGGCGAACGGGAAGATTGCCAAGGACGCGAAGGAGACCGTACAGGAATGCGTTTCGGAGTTTATCAGCTTTGTCACTAGCGAGTATGTGGAATTCCTTTTGATTATTTGCTGTTCCGAGTGATTGATTGTTGTTTTGTTGTTATCTGTGTGTGTCTAATTCTGATGTTCATGCCTTATCCTGCTTTATTTGTTGTTGTGATGGATTTCGATCGATATTTGAAATGAAGTGCCTGGGTTAGTCGATTTAAAAGGGATTTCTCTTTGTTGTATGAACGATGAGTTATACATGTAAATAAATGTTACCGGAGCTTTTGAAGTGATAAGTTGGCTTCCATGTGTGGGTACCTAGTGTTGAGACTATTGGATTTGTGTGTTGGTGACTTTATTTGGGAGATAAAAGCTTAATTTGTTTCCGTTGGCTGTGATTTAAGGGCAAGTGATAAGTGCCAGAGAGAGAAAAGAAAGACGATCAATGGGGACGATTTGCTATGGGCTATGGCAACTCTAGGTTTTGAAGATTACATTGACCCTCTCAAGGTGTATCTGGCTAAATACCGAGAGGTAATAAATTTTCTGTTGTCTTTACCTGTCTTTCTTACGCTTGGAGTAAAATGTTTGATGATTATATGTAGCTATATCTAATTGCAACTGATAAATTTCTGTTTTGTTTCGGGGTTGGGTTGGCTTGGGACGCTCGTGGATGCACTAGATGGAGGTGAGTTTGTCAACCGTATAGTTTTCCTCTGCATTTCCCTTTTACTTTTGAAAAGTTTGAACCTTTATTCTGGTTTTTCTACAGGGTGACAGCAAGTTGTCTTCAAAAGGGACAGATGGATCTGCAAAAAAGGACGGATTGCACCAACCTCATCCCAGTACACAGGTATGTGGTTCAATACATCTTGTATATATCATATTTGTGCTCTTATCTGCTGACTTTCAATAATTAATATTAAACTGTTTGCCGATGTTGAGTTACTATTTCCTGCCCTACACGCAGCTTGTCCAGCAAGGTCCATTTTCTCAAGGCATGAGTCATGCAAGCTCTCAGGTATATTCTACTTTGCTCTGGTTGTCATTTCATTGATTATGTGGTTCTTTTCCAGCTTCTTTGTTTACATGTTAGTGTGTACATAATTATATTTGGGTTTGTGTGTGTCATTTTCTGATTGTAATTACAGCACCTTGTGTTGCTAATATGATAATTCTAACATGCTTTACATGAGGCCAAGCAGTTATTTGAACAACTAACCTGGGCCTATATGGAAGTTTGCTCGAGTTCATGTGCCTGTTTTAAATGGCTTTATTCGTACATTTTAAATTTGTGTTTGTGCTTGTCGTTTTCTGATTATACATTCAGTTCCTTGTGCTAAAATAATAAATCTAACATGCTTCGAGTCGCCTTTTCTGTTTAGCTGAGGCCAAGCAATTCTCTGAACAACAATACCCGACAATGGACTTTGGCTTGAGTTAATGTGCCTGTTTTAGATTATTTAATTCTTACTGGTTTCTGTTTCTTTTTCCAGCCACAAGCTCAACATATAATGGTTCCTATGCCGAGCATGGATTAGAATTGGCTCGTCTTTTGGCCAATGCCCACCTTCATCTTGTAAGATAGATAGATAAACAGCACTGAAGCTGCATTTCATTTGTGCTGTAAACTCTATGTCAGTGTTTGTTTGTTTGTTTGTTTGTTTTTTTCCGTGCTCGTGTATGTTAGAGCCATATTTTAGTTGAGCGAACTCTGTTAAACTTCTGAACACATACTGTTAATTTATATGTTGTATTTTGTTCATCAATTACTTTACAGATTATTAGGTATTTTCACTATTATTTTATTCTTCCTTTGCGTAAAGGGTGTTTGGTGTTTCCCTTTGGTGCTACTTGATCAAACGAAGGACTTAAAATGGTTTTGGTTCCGCTCGGACCTGGTCAAAAATTTAAATTAAAGGATTTGTAAATTTATATATGGAAGATACCACAATCTCGTTATGGAACATTTCGTTGTGTTTGTAACAGTTAGATTAACTATCTTTAATGATTACATTATGATCTAACGGTTATAAACTTTGATGAAATGATTCCGTAACGAGACCTTAGTATTTCTCTTTATCTTTATATGATTAGTTCATGAAGAAAAAACCAACAATTGTAAAGCTCTTGGTAAATAGCTAATTTTTTCAACATGCATATATATTTTCGGGAAATACTACAGTTTCGTTACGGAATTATTTCGTCTGAATTTATAACCGTTAGATCATCATATAATCGTCGTAAATAGTTAATCTAACGGTTATAAATTTTGACAGAATGATTCCGTAACGAAAGTAGAATCTCCTTATACTTTCGAATTGAAAACATAATATGAAAAATGATTAAAAAAAATAACATTTAATAGCTTTGTAGGACGGATCATACCATTTATCCAGCCCGTAACATATGATCTCAGTCCACAACACATAATGATATTCCACCACGTGTCCCGCCAGAGCCACTCCAATTTATATGGTGATTCACACAGAGAATAATTACCCCAACTTAAAGTTAATCTTCAGATTTTCTTTTTCATTTATTATATAGTCAATTAAATTATTGAGAAATGTTAATTATTGTGTTGACGATTTGTTACCGTTAAATCAACATATAACCGTGGATAATTGATCCAACGGTTCTAACATTTGTAGAGTTTTTTTTATCCTCCCTTTTAATACTGTTCGTTACCAGCCATCGTCATCTTCTCTGTAATCTCGGTCCGTATATATACACGATACTCAGGCCTGTATATATAATATATTATTTAACTTTACATAGCGAGAAACTAGCTACTCAAAGGTGGAATTTTCATCAGAGAACCCTAGGATTTCAACGACGCCTGGCGAATTGATGATAATCGATTAAGTATAAACAACTCTAGGTAATATAGAAAGGAAAAACAGAGGACTGTTTTGTGATTGCCGATTTTTTTTTTGGGTTATCTTCGTTTTTTATTTGTACCCTTTTGCATTTTTTCTGTATTGATTCAGTGATTTTTTGTTTGATGTTCTGCGCTTTTGCTTATTCCCCTTTTTCGTGTAAAAAAAAAGTGATTTTTTATTTTTTTATTTTTTTTTATATTTTTATATATATATTTTACAAATTTTGGTTTTGATCGACCCTTTTCATGAATGATCAGTCTTTATTGGTGGATGGGTACTTTTTTGTGAGTAACTCAGAGTAAGTCTTTACTGTGTGTTCTGTATTTCTGCTTATTGACTCCGTATTTGGGAATTGTCCTTCATGTGTCTTACAATTTGATGGCCCTTTACGCTACAAGTTTATTCATTTCATATTCTGTTTGAATCTAAGTTTGTTTGAGTATTTGGTGAATCTCTAAATAAAATAATGATTCTATGTTGTGTTTGATCTTTCTGTGTTTTCTGATTTTCGGTTTTTAGTTTTTCCTTCTTTTTTCCCCACTGCTATATTGGTAGAGGTAGAAAATGGCTAGTAGAGGTCAAAAAAGAGCAGAAGTTTTGGAAGAACTCCCAGCAGATAAGCGTGCGTGCAGCTCGCTCGATTTTCGGCCAAGTTCCTCTGTTTTACCGGCTGATTCTCTACCGACATCTGCCCATGAGACCCAGGATGCCGATATGGACACATCATCTTCCACTTCTGGATCAGCTAAATCCGAGGGTGATGGAGAGAAGGAATCTCCTTATGGCTCTTGTGATTCTGATAACAGCCTCCATGACTACTATAGGCATCAATCAGGGAATGATCAAAGCAACTTTAAGAAAGTGCTTTCGAGTTTAAGCGAGGAGGTGGAGGAATCGGGCCAGATGACTCTCCTCATGGAGCTCTGTGAATTATTGTCCTTCTGTAGTGATGGTACTTTGTCCAGCCATATGGCAGACTCATTCTCACCCATACTTGTAAGATTAGCTAGGCACGAGAGCAATCCAGATATAATGCTTCTAGCGATTAGAGCTATAACTTATTTGTGTGACCAAAATCCCCGATCCTCAAGTTTTCTTGTGAGACATGATGCAGTTCCTGCCCTCTGTCAGAGGTTAATAGCAATTGAGTACTTGGACGTTGCGGAGCAAGTAAGATGTTGGAACTTCGTCTATACTTGCGGTAAACGTTTTTGTGTTTTGTAGTTTATTTATTTTTTCCAACACAAAATGTAGTGTTTGCAAGCACTAGAGAAAATATCCCACGAACAACCACTGGCTTGCTTGCAGTCTGGTGCTATAATGGCTGCCTTAAGTTATATAGATTTCTTCTCGACGAGCGTGCAGGTACTTTTTAGTGCGAACAAAATATTTTTCATAATAAATATTACATGTTTCTGCTGAGTGTTATGGCATCTAGAAAGAGGTTTCTGTCCTCTTCTTTAAGTGTTTTTTTGTTTATTGGTGCTTTTGTTTAATCCTATAGAGAGTTGCCCTATCTACTGTTGTCAATACATGTATGAAACTGTCTTCCGACTATTCTTCACTTTTCATGGACGCGGTTCCAATTTTGTGTAATCTTCTCCAGTACGAGGATAGACAGGTATAATCCTACAAAACTTCATTCATGAATAATTTCTGTCTTGGTGTTTTTCCATTTTAATTAGTTGACCCTATTTCCTCTCTCTTTCTCTTTCTCTCCATTTAAGCTTGTCGAAAGCGTGGCCACTTGCTTCATTAGAATAGGTGGACAAGTGTATACTTCTCCAAACATGCTGGATGAAATTTGTAAACACGGGTTGGTTCAGCACACCTTACATCTTATAGGCTTGAATAGCCGAACGACCCTTAGTCAACCCACATATATTGTAAGCTGAAGTTTCATTAGTTCTTCCCATCTCAGTAGAAAAAATTGTTCCTTACCCATTCTACGTTCTGTAAATTTCTTATTTGGCGGCAGGGTCTGATAGGTTTGCTTGTGAAGTTGGCCTCCAGCTCAGCTGTTGCTTTCAGGACACTTTATGAACTCGACGTAAGCAAAACTTGTAAGGAAACGCTATCCGCTTACGCTCTATCACATGGAATGCACTCTACTTCATTGGTGGATGGACGTCATAGTCAGGTTGGCCCTAATGGTTTCTCCAATTCAATCTGTCACACATGCGGACAACTTGACTTCTCCAATAAGACCACCGAAGTTAACTAATGTCTTTTTATTATCTTGGTTATAGCAAAAAGGCTCTCTTTATGTGTGCCTTCCTAAGGAACATGTTGACATCCATGGTTGTTGAATATTTGAAGAAAGGGGTCCATTGCATTGAGTAATCAGAAATCTTTTAGACTTTTGAACTCTGGCATAACAAGTTTGTAGTAATAATAATGGCAGTCTGCAATAATATATAGGATTTGATGATTTTTTTAATGAGAAACTTAACCAGTGCATGAATTGTATAATTTTTTTTATGGTCTGATCTTTATTTACGCTTAATATAATGAGAACGTACATGGTAAAATGCTTGGAGTTTGCATTTTCTGGAACCTGGGATTTAGAAGTCCTCTAAGGATATGTGAGAATTTTGCCTTCATGGATGGAATTCCGACACAGAAAATCGATCCAAGAGTGTTACCCAACATACTTTGGATTAACTATAGGAGTCTATGATTAGTTAATGTGGGTTTAGGAGGAGTTCGAGGAAATAAGAATAATTATAAGAAGACGTTTATGGTCTACACTTGGCTGTCCTGAAAAGATTACGTACCAGTACCACCTAGGGGAAGCAGAGTGGGTAACTTAGTGGAAGGACTGCCTCTACAAATAGGTGTTGGACACTGTGTTGTTTGGGTATGGCCTTAGATATTACATTTTTCCATATAAATCAAACATCCACATACACACACACACAAAAGAAAAAAGTGCCTGTTCAATTAATTTAGTCGGTTAGCAACCCACCTGGCTCAGTCCCGTCAGAGATAATATGCTAAAGTAAATTCAAGATTTTGTAGATAATTATACTGGTGGACCCAAACCTACATTTCCTAATGATCTATGCATATGCATTATTTAGTTATAGAATCTAATTATACAATGCATGCATATCTACGTATAGATATATGCATAATTATTCTGTATTATTAGCCCCACCACCATTGTTCTGTTTCTTGCAAAGGTGTTGTTCTTTTCTGTTTATTTAGAATATGTTGGTTGCTGTTGAATTTTGCTTAAATATAACTTCTGAAATATAAAAAGTTTCTAGATGCACATAGTAAGTACAGAATTTGATCATTAATATTGGAAATCAAATTTCATACTTACCTCGCAGATGATTGAGGTTCTGAAGTTGTTGAATGAGCTGCTCCCCACAATTACCACAGAGCAAGATGATCGACAAAAGTCGGACAAGGAAGCTTTTCTTTTGGGCCACCCTGATGTCCTGCAGAGGTTTGGTATCGATCTGCTTCCTATCTTGATTCAGGTTGGTTTGTTACATGTCTGTCTTGAAGTGTTTGTCCAGACCTGGCCGCCTCCGTCATTTTTAAAGCCTTTTCACTGTTAGCAGGTAGTGAACTCTGGCATGAATCTGTTTGTGTGTTACGGCTGTCTATCTGTTATCAACAAGTTAGTCCATTGCAGCTCATCTGAGGCACTTCATAGTTTGTTAGACACTGTTAACTTTCCAAGGTTGCTTTTTCTCTTTCTCTGATTCATTGGGTTTTTTCATTTAATTTCTTTTTCCTGTTTTTTCTCGTTTCACTTTCATTTCTAATATGGATCGAACGTTGAACGGCAGCTTTTTGGCTGGAGCTTTTATGAGGAAGGATCAGCATGTGATATTACTGGCCCTTCAGATTGTTGATTCTGTAATGTTCAAGCTTCCGCATGTTTACTTGAACTCCTTCATTAAAGAAGGCGTTCTTTTTGCAATCAGTGTGCTCCTTTCCCCAGATAAGGATTTGAAGCTCTCTCCAGTCTTTGATGGTATCAGGTTAGGAACTGATGTAAAGCAAAAATCAGCTTCCAGGGATGTCCGTATATGCCCGTGCTTCACATTTGCTGACGGGCAGCGATCAAACTCTTCAGAAACTGGGATTTGCAAGCTTCGGATAATTACCGCTCAGGATCTTGCAAAACGTATATGGACTACTTACTTCGAAACAGAGTCTGTGAACCCTGAGAAAGGTGTAACTGATATTCTTCAAAAGCTGAAAAAGTTGTCCAATGCACTGACAGCCCTAGTGAATAAGTCTCTGGAACACCAATCTAGTCAGCAGGAGGAAGAGATCTATGATATTTTGCGCCAAATCATGTCGGAGCTTAATGAAAAGGATTCCATCTCCACGTTTGAATTTGTGGAGAGTGGAATTATAAAAGCATTAGTTAGTTATCTGTCACACGGCAAGCATCTCAACGGAAAAGAAGACTCCGATAAAGAAAGTCTCTTGTGCATTATGCAGAACCGATTTGAGGTGTTTGAAAGGCTATTATTGTCTTGTGCTGACTCACCTCAAGAAGAATCTTCACTTTCAATGCTAATACAAAGATTACAAAATGCTCTGTCATCTGTTGAAAATTTCCCTGTCATCACGGGTCATACATATAAGCGGAGAAATTCTTATGCTACTGTTCCGAATGGGCGCTACGTTTCACACGCATGTCTGAA